CCTCAAACTCATGGCAATCCTCCTGCCTCAGCCGCCTGAGTGCTGGGATTACAGGTGTGCACTGCCATGCCCAGCTCATGATGCTATTTTAATGTTCATTATCTTCTGATTTGGGGAAGTCACTTCACTTCTTTGGGTCAGTGTTCTTATCTTTCAAAATTAACCTGTGGTTAAGGAAGCTAACACATTCATTAGACATTTAAAAAAAAAAAAAAGTGCAGGGGCTGGGGATTTAGCTCAGCGGCACAGCGCCTGCCTGGCAAGTGCGAGGTCGTGAGTTCCATCCCCAGTACTGGAAAAAAACAACAACAACAAAAAAAAAAGTGCAAAAAAAAATGTGCAAGATGGAATTATTTTCAAAGCAAGATTCCTTACGAAGACAATAGTTACAACAGGAAAGAAAAAGCAAGTTAAAGCAATTTCTGAGACCCCACATGACCATGACCTGCACCCTGCACCGCCTGCCCGGCAGCCTGCAGCATCTGTTTTTGGTGGGAATGTGGTTCCATCTGCTGTAAGCACCACCACCCTGAAGGATGCTTTTGTACCTGAGTGTGAAACCAACACAGACTTTGGTAAATCAGTCCACTGATTGGTTTGGCACAACCCTCATCCCGGTAGCCTGGACAGAACATAAAAAGGGTCAGAAAGAAGCTGCTAAGGTCACTTGTTGATTCCCTTGTTTGCTTTGCTACCATCTGCCCACCATGAACTGTTTCTCCTCTGTAATACCACCCTGCCCTGGAGCCAGCCAACTATGAGCTGAAAGCTCTACAAACTGTGAGCTAAATAAACCTTCCCTCCTTTGACTCTGGGTGTTGGGTATTTTGTCTCCGCAATGAGAACGTATGAGAACGTAACTAAGACACTCCTTAAACGCAGATTTAGTTGCGGAGTAACATACGGTAAGTGTTGTAATCCTTAGAGAAACGCTAGACAGACAGCAAGGGGGTGCTGCCGGAGCCTTTGGCCACAGAGGCAGAGGAAAGATCCGGAGGAGGCGTGGCATTTTCTGAAGCCCACCCTACAGGAGAAGACAGCAAACCTTTTATGCTATGTGGCAGATAGTGACAGTTTACAGCACACCTGTAATCCCAGCACTCTGGGAGGCTGAGGCAGGAGGATGGCAAATTTGAGCCCAGCATGGGCAATATAGTGACTTAACAAATTGTCTCAAAATAGTATCTTAATGTGCCTCCAACTTTAAAAAAGGGTTTGGAAAAAAAAAAAAAAAAAAACGGCTTGGGATCTAGCTCAATGCAAAGGCCCTGGGTCCAATCCCCAGTATTGCAGAAGATACATTTATTTTTTTTTTTAATATATATTTTTTATTTTAAAGAATAAAAGAAGGATAACATAATAATGGGGGGACTTAGCAAATTACAGACAAAATGGTAGGAAATTATCAATGGTTATCATTTTACATATTATTGTCTACAAAATAGTTTCTCAGGAAAACAAATAGACAAATAATAGTGAGTTACAGACAAAAGAGGTAAGAGATTAT